GCCGGGGGCGGGGGGGGGAGGGGGGGGGGGAGACAACAAACCCACAACACAAAAAGCAGGATAGAAATAAGCCTTCAGCCTCGCAGGGATTTAAAACAGGGGTTTAGACCTTCATGGTGAAGTGAAACTTCAGCATAGCTCTTGTCAAATTGATGGCTGCATGTCTCTAGCTGTGCTATTAGAGATAGAAATCTTGTATTTAAAAAGTTAAAAGAATATTGATTATTACTTCAACCTTAAAAGGTAAGAGGCCAAATGAAAAAGACTTACAGTAATGAATGTAGTTGGATGAGAGAGAACATAAAGGAGGACACTGGCCTGGGAAATAGTGTCTTTGTGAAAAGGACACTGAATCTAAGGAGATAGTTCTTCACTCGTCCTGGACATTTGCTGGGCTCAAGCCCAGGACAATGTTCCCATCATTCCCACCTGCGTTCTTATCCCCACAGTTCCCCGTTTTGAGTGCTATACATTGAAGATTTTTAAATCTTGTCACTACAATGAAGAAGTGAAATGTAAGTGTTTGCTTACTGACCTGGGCTGTGCTGAGCCAAGAGCATTTGCTGAACCAGTCTGAACGGACCACTGCCAGCATGAACAGGCCAACCACGTTCAGATAGCATGCAGCTTTAAGCATAAGGGGCCAGAGCCCCAGGGATTTGGAGCTCCCTCCTCTCCAAGAGGTCACACACTCTAAAGCCAGCATCAGGACTGCAAAACACTCAGCAATACCAGCAATGCTCAGTTTAGGAAAGGCTGAATGCTACATAAAGGTGTTTCTTGGACAGCAGCTCAAATGCAGATTTACACCCAGATTACAGCAATTCACGTCTTGCTACTGTGAAGTAAGAAGCTCTTCTGCATAGTTTTATTTCCCCTCTATTGCAGAGATTAGCAGAGAACTGCTTAAAACAAAGGTGTTCCCTACTGTTAGAACATCACACTGCAGTCAGAAATGAAGCCTCCTGCCAATTCCTAAACAGAGCCCTTGTATATTATACATTTATTTTCACTGCTGACATGAAGGAGCCGAAGACTACCGAAACCTTTCAGTGGGAGGAGAAGAGGAGAGGCATGGACATTGCAGATCTTGTCAGGCAGAGCCAGGCACTAAAAATTCCTGCATATCTGCAGAGCACAGCTGATCTCAGGAACACAGCAGTGGCACAAAACAAATAAAGCCTCAGAAGCTAATGAGCAGCAATAGATGTTGGGCTCTTCTGCAGCCCTGGAACAGCTGAGCAAGCTCAGTTCCAACTGTACCTGCATTGCAAATAGGAAAGGCAGCTCTGATGTCCCATGCTAATCTAATGACTCCTTATTGCACTAAAATACCCACATATTCAGTGGAGTAGCTCAGCCCACACAGGAGGAAGGATACCCTCCGCCCATCCACCAGTTAAGGCTCCTTTGGTATGCAAAATTCCTCAGTTTCCCAGGTACCTTTGAACCTTGATGTACAGAATTCTCCCTTTACAATGGAAGAATTTAGGACATGACTAAAGGATTGTTGCTACCTCCTAGCTAATCCTAGAGAGTGTTAGGCAGAATCAACAACTCTATGAATTACAAGTGACAAGATGCTTCTGGACCTAAAAGCTTGGGCCAGCTTTTCAGTATGGTAGGCACAGTTGGCAGCGGGGGCACAGGATGGCAGCTTCATGCTGAGCATTGCTCTAGGGCAAGAGCACATGTCATGGCAGAGAAAAAAGAACGTTATGACCCTTTGCCAGCTGAGACTGGCTTACAGCACCCTCGCAGTTGCAGCACTGCTTTAGGGCTCTGGGTCACCACCGGTACAAGCTGATAGCCAGGTTGTGAAATGCAGCATAGCCCTTTCAAATGTTCCTGCAGCTGGAGAGGGATCTCCGGGATAGGGATGAGGCAGGCAGCTGGGAGTGTTAAATCCACTAGTAACTGTGACTCAGACCCCTTAGTTACAGGGTTTGTTAGAGCAAACAAGGCCTCAGAGTTACTGGGAGAAATGGGAGAGCATTTGATAAAGATACTCCAAATCAGCCTGTGTATTTTTATTTCTTGTGTGGACTCAGCAAACTTTTCTGCAGGGAGAAGCAGTCTGCACAGGAGCATCTGCATACAGTGTCATGAACTAGTTGCAGTAGTTAACATTGAGCTGCATGCTGAGGTGTACAGGAAGGACATGGGTAGTAACAGCCTTGGACAAAAATATCTCTCTCACCACATGCCAGATACCAGTAAGCACAGAAACAAACTTTGCTGTCTCATTTTCTACTGTAAGACTTAAGTCTCGTTCCTTTATCTCATCTGTACCTATAGATGCAGCAGAAACAGTTGTCCTTAATATAAATAAACAATGCCTTAAATACAGCACCTTTTACACTTTATCCACTTCTCTC